TAAAGGTCTTTTCCAACCATTATGATCCTATGGTTTAGGTACACCATAGCTCCACTGAACGCTTGTCCAGCCTTTCTCAAATGACAAAGATGCCTCTCTCTCTCCCCAGACACTCTGTTCCAGTCCTTCACTGTCCTTACTGTTCAGAAAGTTTCTCGATATCTAAACTAAATCTCTTCTTCTACTTTTGCAGTCCATACTTATTTTGGGATTTGAACTAGATGAAGTAGATCTACAGTAATGTATTTTACCTTATATATGGATAGACTGGGAGCAAAAACACAATCATTTCGAGTGGCTCAGATAGAAAACAGTAACTTAGTAAGCTGCTGTTACTTGATCTTCATTGATTATGTGTTTGTACGTTCTGCAGTTTAAAATAATTTTTCCATCATCTCTTCCTGTAGCATACACTTAACTGTTCTAAGTATTACACATCTTCTAGATATATTTATTCCTTACCTTGTTCCACGAGTATAATTCTTTCCTTTCTTCCTTGATGCATCCTTTTAAATATTTTAAGACTATCTTCAGGCTTTTCCTCAATTTTCTTTCATTTAAGGACTTACTTATTTTACATTATTTTCTTGTAAAGTCAAGTTTACTTGACTTCTGATCATCTTTCATCTGAGTTCTCTTAAACTGATCCTTAACATTCTCAAAGCATGGTAACAAAGCACAGTACCCTAGATGAAAAACAAAGGAAAACATTTTATAGCTTACTTCAAATGGTTCTCCTGTGTCTACCATATCATCAGATGAGATGCTCAAAACTGAGCCACAGCCTCCAAACCGCTCATTTCGACAGCCATACACAACCCGTGGAATTTATGCGAATGAGTTAAGGTATTAAGTTAAAGTAAGAAGCAAGCAGGAAGTAAAGTAGCCTGATTTAAGCAGTCATTAAATTTCACTAAAATGTGCTTCTACTTTTCAAACTAAGTTAATTTGTGCTACAATCCCTCCCTCATAAAATCAGAACTTACTTCTGAGTAACGTAAGATGTGTTGCTGAAGATGTGCATCCAGCCTTCCTCAGAAAAGAAGTATGAATCCCAAAGCAGAGGCACCAAAGCCATGGTTTATCAATTGTTACAACATTCAAAACTGAACACTGAACTGAGATGAGCACATTTTACATAATAACAAATACCTCTAAAATGTATTTTTACATCCCTAAGAGAAATTGTTGTTTGTTATAATTGCACCATTTCTCTTTCACTCTTGAGTCTCTCGCTATTTATCACTCAGTATCATAGAATCATAGAATGGTTTGGGTTGGAAGGGACCTTTAAAGGTCATCTAGTCCAACCCCCCTGCAGTCAGCAGGGACATCTTCAACTAGATCAGGTTGCTCAGAGCCCCGTCCAGCCTGACCTTGAATGTTTCCAGGGATGGGGCTTCTACCACCTCTCTGGGCAACCTGCTCCAGTGTCTCACCACCCTCATCATAAAAAATTTCTTCCTTATATCTAGTCTACCCTCTTTTAGTTTAAAGCCATTACCTCTTATCCTATCGCTACAGGCCCTGCTAAAACGTTTGTCCCCATAAATGGAGGAGGGTGCAGACTCTCAAACCGTAAGGCTGTACCCCTGTCGCTTTGCCTGACAGCAACAAGCCCTTCTCTGCCAAAAGAGTAACATTTTGACCCAGGGTTTCCCAGCATGAATACACATGGAAGGATACTCATCAAGCGCACAGCAGCTGCACACATGATACAAGGCTCTACAGTTACATACAATACTGAGTTTGCAAACACTTCTGTGTAATCTTTGTTCTGTTGCTTGCACCAGTCAAGGACCTGATCGATTGCCACCATTTCTGCATGTCGAGTCGCCTAGGAGATAAAAATAAACATTTCCTTAAAGTTTGCACTGATTCACAGCTTTAAGCTTCTCACTTTTACAGATACAAATGAAATAAAATGCAATGTCATCAAATTATTCTTTCAAGTCAAAGGCACAATGGCCTGACACCTAATTTATTAATAATCCAATTATTATCACTTTTGTTAAAGAAGTAATGCTTTCTTGATAAGTCTCTTCTCAGTACACCTCTTTGCTGGTTCAAGTGGCAGAAAACATTTCGTGCAGCCCAAACTGCAGAAGAAGTACTCAAGCCAAGAAAGAATGGATTCAACCTCAGTCTCATATGCAGCACACACAAGATCCCCAAGCACAAGCTGTTTTTTTCTCCTACCTGTTCCCAGGCAGAGGATTCTGCTCAGAAGTTCTCCTCTCTCTGTCATGCCAGTATAGTAAGACAAGACATGAAAACTCTACTTGGGGCTCAAGGGACATACAAAGCCCAACAGAACAACTGGTCTAGCCCACTGGGCTTCAAGAGCAAGAATGCAGGCCAGGGTTATTTCTCTGGAAATACTAAGAAACTGCACCTACCTGGTACCTTTTCCTCCCTCTGACAATGTTACTGGAATTAACATGCTGTGCATGTGCAATAATGTCAGTATGTTTCTGGAACTGCCTGGCCTACTGGGTAGACACAGTACTGTCAGTCTGCATCGGGTTTAATGGGGAATATGTACACTTACAGTAAGTCCCTCAAGGAGTAGGCAGGGACTGCAGCATATGCCTGATTACAAAAATACAGAAGAATATTGATTTCTCTTTTTTTTTTTTAATCCAAAATGACTGAAGGATGAGTATCTCGGAGGTCACAGCAATAGGTACAGCATAAAAACCTGAACAGAAAAGAAGAAGTGTTGACTTTAATTGCAAAGAGACGAAACCAATCAGTAATGTCCCAGTATGGCTCTGTAACGTCTGCAGCAGGGCGTTTTGCCAATCAAATGTCACAGCAAAAATATCACAAATTATTAGTTATGAAGGGACTCTCTAGTTACAAAGCCTGATGCTTATTTGATTTCAGGCTGTTAGTATTTCCTTCTTTTTAATCTGTTCTGGAAAAAGCATGTTCTTGACACAGGCATTAGACTAAGATTTAATCAATCCAAATTATACTTGTACCTCTGCTACATGTGTCTCTATGTGACCTTAGATAACTTCCTCTCAAAACATGAACTTGGGTTAATATTTTAGCACTGTGAAGATCTGTGATGATAACTGTGAGCTGCTCTACAATATATGGCAAAGGATTCATGTATAAATAAGTTAGTGGTAAGTTTAATACTGTTTAAAAATGTTTTAAAAGTCCTACAGAGACCTATGCTGCCCATGCCTACATTAGCAAATAGCCCAGCACAAGAAGAGTGTATCTGTAGGGCAGAACAGCGCTGAGGACTCAGCACCAATTCAGGGAGGTTCACACTGGCCTAGCTCCAGTTCAGCCCCATGGATGGTATTGTCCCAGCAACAGCTGGAATGCATTAGGTGTGCTCCCTAAGTGCATCTTTTACAGTATAGTTTCACATGAAAGGAAGACAGTTTGCCATCTTTGAGACACAAACCAAAGCATGGTAAGCAAAGACAATCAGAAATTTATTCCATGAGTGCCCTTGTGATCTGAACTAACACAGCAATGTACCCACTTGGAATAAAAACATGGATCTGAATCAATATGATTCAGACCATGATTCCTCCAGACCCACTACTGAAACATTGCCATGAAGGTTCCCTAGTTAAATAAATGAGATCACACCAGCTGAAGTCTCAGTGCACACAGCTTATGGCAACACAAAGCATAATGTCCTCCAGCAGAACGATGCCTCAGAACTACTGCAGCTACCATAACTCACACGTGTAAGTTGTGGCTATTTTAATTCTGTGCCCCTCAGACCAGAAGAGACATGAAGGCCACATTGGCTTTTCAACTCCTGAGCGTGAATTGAGAGCATATAAGCAACAAGCCTTCATTACTGGAAGGAAACATGCCTCTCACCTATGACACTGCTTTCTACCGAGTACACCAAGTAGCTTTTAGGCCTCTGCTGATCTTGGGAGTATAAGTTAAGAAAAAACATGCAGCTGCTATAAATTGTACCAGCTTCTGCTGTAATAAAAGACAGCTACACAAAAGAGATTACACTAATATGCCCTGGTGAGGCCACATCTGGAATGTTGTGTCCAGTTCTGGGCCCCACAGTTCAAGAAGGACAGGGAACTCCTTGAGAGAGTCCAGCGCAGAGCCACGAAGATGATTAAGGGAGTGGAGCATCTCCCTTATGAGGAAAGGCTGAGGGAGCTGGGGCTCTTTAGCTTGGAAAAGAGGAGACTGAGGGGAGACCTCATTAATGTTTATAAATATGTTAAGGACAAATGTCATGAGGATGGAGCCAGGCTCTTCTCAGTGATGCCCAACGATAGGACAAGGGGCAGTGGGTGTGAGCTGGAACACAGGAGGTTCCGCTTAAACTTGAGAAAAAGCTTCTGTACGGTGAGGGTGACAGAGCCCTGGGACAGGCTGCCCAGGGAGGGTGGGGAGTCTCCTTCTCTGGAGACATTCAAGACCCACCTGGACACCTTCCTGTGTAATTTTGTTTAGGTTCCTGCTCCAGCAGGGGGATTGGACTGGATGATCTTTTGAAGTCCCTTCCAACCCCCTAATATTCTGTGATTCTGTGTAATATAGAATATTACTAAACTCCAGTGCACCCACATCTTAACTAACATGTACTGGTTTGGTCATCTCACCTCATGAAGACGTGGGAACAGCAGGGCAAATTCATCAAAAGGTGAGAAAGGATTATCCAGGTTACATAACAGTCTCCATAGAGAGACTAACCAGACCACATCTCTTAACTCACCAGATACAGCCATTAGTTTTCCAAGTTAAGATTACTATCGTAGAGGTTTATAAAAATTAAGAAAAATGTGGAAAAGCAAACAGTAAATGGTTATTTATTATTTCTCATAACAAGCAGGCACCCAATGAAATTACCAGGCAGCAGATTTAAAACAAACAAAAGGAAGTGCTCTTTCACAAAGCACATAATTAAATTGTGGAATTCATTGCCACAGGATGCTATGGAAGCCAGCAACATAAATGAGCTCAAAAAAGGTTTAGACAAATTCATGGAGGATATGTGCACAGACAGCCATGAGAAACAATGGTCCAGATACAGTCTCGGGCTCTGGAAGTTCCTCAGCTATCCCCTTTCAGAAGTGGAAAGGATATGCAAGGGGAAGGTTTAGGCTACTCCCTTCTTGTTTCTCAAGCCCTGTCCTTAAGCATCTGCTAAAGTTCTCTCTTAAAGACAAGATATGGGGGAAAAACTGACCTTCTAGGGCTGTTTTAAGATTTTATTTTGTATTGTGCTATGAGACTAGACAGTCTTTTTTATTGACTTGTGTGTGTAAAATAACATACAAAAAAGATTATTTTCATTCTGAGTCACTGACTCAATTCTGTAAGCCCCTACTGGTTTTTAACTTGCCCAATCTTATATGTTATTTTAAACCCAAGAAAAAAAAAGCAGGTAAGAGTAGCAAGGGAAAAAAGAGAATTGCTAGAGAGTGGCAAATGATGTTCCAAGGATAAATTATTTGTAGCTGACATCAGTGGGGAAAAAGCCTTGACAAAGCCTTAAAATAATGCCCCAAACTGTGGCAAATGTTTTATAGACAAATAAAGATACCATCACTGCCCTGAGAAACAAGGCAGAAGAGAAAGTCCATCTGGAATAAAGTATACAGTTCTGGTTAAGTGAATTCAAGAAAGATGAATCAAAGCTGGGATGGATGTGCACAAGTATTATTAGAATGAACACAGAAATAAAGCCTGTCTTCTGAGAGGAGATTAAACAGCTGGCTTGGGGAAAATAGGGAAAAACAAAAACCAAAAGGGAATATGAGTTTAAATGCCTCCAAGATACGTAAAATAAAGGAACAGAGAGATATAAACAGACCATAAAAATTTTGAATCAGATGTTTTCTACCCATCTGAGGACTGATATTCTGAAGAAACACTCCAATATGAGGTGGGACATAAAATTAAGTTTCAAAATGGACCTTGACAAATTTATGATGTCTGCTGGAACTGCCTCAATGGTTCAAGAGGGCTTTTTTTCCTGGGATTGTTGCTAAATAATGCCAGAAATTGTTAGGAGAAAACTGAAAACAATTTCCTGTATTCACATTTCTCAGCAAGTGCCTCTTTCAAGCTCACATTTTCTTTTAGGCTATATGGAGCAATTAAGTATCTGATACAAAATTTAGCAGCAATGAGCAGGCAGCATTTCCAATCACTATAATATAAGCATTTGTGAAAATTAAGCCACAAAAGAATTGAAACTTGAGCTAAACAGAAACTGAAAAAAGGATTTGCTTTCAAAGATATTAACAGTTTACTGTTTCCAGAATGGAGACCAATTTTTTAAATCAGGCTGCTTGAATTTAAGTACATACCTTCAGGCAACCCTGATGTTAATACAAAAAAAAGTCCGAAAGCTTCCCTAATATTTTTAAGTTGATTCTGATTTTGTTATCAGTCTTCTCAGTTATGTTCTGCGTGTGTGATTTTTGCACAGCATTAGTATCTCTGGCACAATTTTCCCAAAAAGTGTTTGCTTCTCCACAGTGTTTATACTGATTTAACTTGAAATACCCAACTTCTCTGTCATCTGACTTTCTTGAGTTGTATTAGAATTATTTTGATATGTTACGGACTGTCCTGTAGCACAAGTTAGTATAATGGTTCGTTTTTACTGTTACATTTTTTATCTTAAAAGGCTCATTTCCACCTTTCATTATATTTTCAGATTTGAGACATCTAATGTAAGTTTCGGCCAGATGCTGCAATCAGATCCATTTATACAACACACCCAGTTGCACAAAATCCCTGTTGGCTTTAATGGGTGTCTCAGCATGTTCAGGATCTACTCTGATGGCTAAAATTCCAAGGATCACATCTAAAATCTAC